GTGGACATCTATTTCTTTCTGAAAACTTCTACAGAGTTAGCAAGTGGAAAAAGACTTATTTTAAACTAACTCACATTTAACTATTGTTAAACCCATCCTGCATGTTTTACATGAACAAATCAAGCTGATAGAACGTTATCATACTGAAACAAATTGGGAGGATGGAAGGACTTCACCGAGAAATGAAGACTGAGCAGGTCAAAATGTGAATAAGAGCATGAAATGACCATTTGGTTTCCAGGGCAACAATCTATATTTGTAAACATTGCACAGAAAAAAATGCCTGCACTAACAAACACAGCATGCAATTATTCTTCAGTCAAAAGGTATTTTCAAAAAAAAACTGCAAGTTAATGTGGATAGCTTAACATGACCCTCAGTTTTATGTATTCCAGAATTTTGATGAGAGGCTTGATCAGTCTGAGTAGAAGGAATCCTCCTGAGAACTCTTCTTGTGGAAATTTCTGTGTAGAGTCTCCTTCCCACACTTTTACAGTCAGGAAAGCCAAATGTTCAAAAGCCAAAGAGTTAGTCCCCAAAGGATTATGACTTTTTTTAAATAGATATCGAATTCCCATTTTCTGCTTGTTTAGAGCTATAATAATTTCTGGGTTTGAGTTATTGGCTGTGATTAGGCCTTGAAACACAGATACCTACATCCAGGCACACAGAGGTGTACCCTTTCTCACTAAGAAAGTAGAAGTACAGATATAAGAAAGTGATCTGGGGATCTGGAATTTTTTTTTGGGGGGAAAAAAAAAAAGAATCAAGTACAGAAGAACTGGGGCACGGGTTTATGAAAGGCAAGTCGTGCTTGACCAACCTGGTCTCCTTTTATGACAAGGTGACCCACTTAATGGATGAGGGAAAAGGCTGGGGATGTTGTCTCCCTGGAACTTAGTAAATCCTTGGATGCTGTTTCCCACAGCACTCTCCTGGGCAAACTGGCTGCTCGTGCCTCGGGTGGGTGCTCTGTCCACTGGGTAAAAAAAACTCTCTGAATGGGCAGGCCCAGAGAGAGGTGAGGAATGGAGTTACATCCAGTTCACAGACAGTCACTAGTGGTGTTCCCAAGGCTCAGAGCTGGGCCCAGTCCTGTGTAGCATCTTCATCAACGGTCTGGACAAAGGGATTGCAGCAACTTCCCAGACAAGAGCGGGATCATCGATCTGCGGAAGCAGCACCGCATGAACAACTGGACTCGATGATCTTGAGGGTCCTTTTCCAACCTAAACTATTCCATAATTCTAAGAATCATCAGATCTTCACTAAGATTGTGAGAAGTGGCAAAACAGGCGGGTTTTTTTTTTTCCCCTTTCACACAGAATGATAGACTATCATCCATGCAGAACACCTTTCACACATACCATTCCTTTTACAAGCTGTGAGGACTCTCTACACAGATGAAAGACCCATAAAAGCTAAAGAATCATCTGCCATGAATGCTCAATCATCCTCTTACTTTCTCACAGCTACAGAGGACTTTCCACCTGCCATCATATTCCAAACACTTGCCCCACTATGGAAACTGTGACACGTAGCAACATCTTTTCTCCACCAAGATAATGTCTCCAATGTCATGAGGGGATAATGGACACATTTAACAGCCCCCATTAAACCAGCTGAGCTCTTTCTGTCTCCATTGAAGTCAGTCCATTCTCCTCTCTCCTTTGCATGGTTTCCAGACAAAATGAAAGACCTTGAGAATTCAAAGGCAGCAATGAGGATCATTAATTCAAACGCAACAGCGACCATTCTTTGTTTTTGTTTGCTCATGCTGTCAAACAAGGCAAATTAGATACTTTTAAATCAATACCAGGGCTCACACTGATCTCAGCTGAAGCAGGGGTTGACACCACCAGAGGAGCACAGGGAAAGATAATTCACCACAAAATTCACACAAGGTTTTGTTGCAGAAACTGACGAGAACCTAAAGGCAAGTCTAGGATTGCAGTAAGAAATATGGGAGATGGGGGCAATAAACAATCACTGCCTGTGCCCATGTGGAATTTGAGGACAATTCTTCTTGAACAAGGTCATTCCCATAATTTTGGATCTGATTCAAGTTCACTGATTTTCCACCCAAGGTGTGGTTTTAATTTTGGGGGGTTTTTTTAATTCTTTTGAAAAAAGACATCACATTTGTACTCCCAACTGGATGGGAAAGGATCCCAGAAGAATGCATTGCTTCTGCTAGTAGTTTTGTCTATCCTGAGCCCTAAGGAAAAAGGAGGGATTGAACACTGTGTGGCAATCCCAACACCCAAGGTTCAGGGCTTCCAAATATTCAGGGTTTAAATGGCACATAATTTCAGCCATCTCCTGGGCAATTTTTTGACCCCACTGCATTTCTGAACTAAACTAGGTCTCTACACAGAATTTAAAACCAGGATCTTTCAGTCCTTCTGGGATTTCGCAGTGCTGACTGTATTTATAAATAACTTTTAAATAGGCACATTTAAACAGTCAGTCTCAAAATGTCCAATTTTGCTGTACTAGGCTTGGAAGCGTCTGTTTTTCACATTTTACATTTCACATTTTAAGTGCATGCATGCACCATGTAGCACTGTCAGCCAAGAGTTCTTGAGCAAAACAGATATCTGCAATGGTTCCAAGAGAAAAAAAATTAATATAGAAACATTACTTAAAAGCACAACAGTTGTAAGTGCCAAAAAAAAAAAAAATACTGTTAAGCAATATGCTTGGTTTGAAGAAGTATTACAGTTATTTTGTTAATTTTTTAGGCCACTTTACCTGTTTTATTATATTCAACTCATCTGTCCATGTCACTCCCCTGTATCATGATAAATTCTATAACATAGTCCCACAAAAACTATTTCTTTCTTCCACCATGGTTGAGGTTGACAGCCAGCACTTAATCCTTCTCATTTTTTCCAGAATTGACATGAAAAATGACTGGTAAAACACTGGTTTACATACTTTCTGAAAGTCAGATTTATTTTTTTTCCTAATCTAAGCTTCCTGAAGTGCCTTTCTTGCTTCCCCAGGCACCTCCAGTATTTGTTTCCCCTATTTTATCTGTACTCAAGTGACACATTCTACTAGATGAATGGGGAGAAGTGAAGCCACTGTACAGACAAAAATCACCTGCAGTACAATACAGTGTTGACTGATGTTAGACCTCTGCACAAGCACTAAGCCAAAGACAAACTAAGGGTAAAAACCTGCCCACTTTTCATCATTTGTAGGCTTCAGTCAGGGACTAAATAAAAGCTGAAATCCCTTGCTTATGCAATTAAACCAGACCAACATGTAGGATGTGCCCCACTATCCCTCACCTCACACTCAAATAGCTTTGGGTTTGGGTTTTTTTAATATAATGAATATTGGAAAAGGCTCTTCCTCAGACGTGTGGCAGACAAAAGCTATTACATTCTCAAACAGGAAGATGAATAAGTGAAGTAAGTGAAAACAGATGTCACTGATTTATTAATTTGTTCTCTGACTTTACCACGTACCTCTCCTTTTCCTCAGCCTTCAGCGTATGGGAAGTACATCCCAGAATGTGTTGCTACATTATTGGCTCATCCCATAACTTCCATAATAGCAACAAAGAAGTAAATGACATGTAATAAGCCCACAGAATTCTCACATAAATTTTGCCTTTTTTTTTTTTTTTTTTTAAACTGGCAAAAAAGGTTTCATTTTCACTGAATTGATACCAAAAGCGAAGTCGATGTTTTCACGAGTGTTTTCTTTGGTATGACATGTAACTGAAAAAAAAAATGCATAATGTATGCCTCCCTTTATGGCAAGTATATGAATTACACTCCAAGTTTATTAGAAGTGCCCCCTCTACGGGACTTCTCACACAGCTGTGCATGGGCAGGACAGGCTCATTTTGCTCTGCAGAACAAAAGTTTCAGAATTATTGCACTGGTTTATTCATCAGGCTCTGACTCCTCCTCGCTTATGCAATCCAGCGCATTACCAGACCAAGCTCAGTTACAGGAAAAATCACTCTTGAAAATACACGATACAGCAACTGCAGACTGTGTTTGCAGGGTACATCCTACAGCGCGCTCGAATGCCCTTACAAAGTGCCTTTGTTGGGCATAACGTGGAAAAGAAGCCCGTGACACACACGAGAAGGCTCAGAAGTGCGTTGGGTACAAGAGCTCCAGACTGTCCCAAAGCCAGTCTGCTCACATTTCAGGAAATCAACGCGCGGCACGGCATCCATCCCGAGCGATGAAAGAGGACAGTCACTGTTCCTTCTTCCGACCATCAGCTCTCTCTCACACACACAGGCATTGAAATGGCATCAAATACAGACGGATACAAAGCGGCCTGAGACAGCTCAGGTTGCAGGGGGTCAGGTTCGCCCCTTGCCAGCCCCGCTGCCCCCACGGAGCTCGGCACAACCCCTTCTGCCCCTCGACGCCATCCCCGGGGGGATCGGGCAGCCCTTCCAGCCACAGTCGAGGGGAAACGAGTCGGAGAAGGAAAGAAAGGAGGAGGAAAAGAAAAGGATGGGAGGGGTGGGGGGGAAGGCAGAAGGAGCGTGTGCGAGAAAAGAAAGGGGAATCCGCGGTTACTGCGTTTCTCTAAAACAAAGAATGTGAGAAAGCAGATGTAGTTCAGCGCAAAAAAGACTCCGCCCTTGCGAGTGTTTACTCTCCCGGCTCGCTTGCCCAGCTGCTCTCCAGCCCCGTCCCGAGCCCGTCCTTTTGTTGGGAACTTCCCAGCGGCCGCAGCCCCGCCGGGATGGGGGGGCTCAGCTTGGCCTCTGACCGCCCCTCCCGCTCCGCGCCCGCAGCGAGAGCCCCAAAACCCGGCTCTAAAAGCCTCCCTCGGTCTTCTGGTGAGAACCCCAACGCACAAACCCCTTCTCGGTATGTAAAAGGCAAGAGTCTTGTTACTCTTGTGCTCCGGAGGTTTTCGATTCCGCTTACCAGCCAAATCACGCAAATAAGCACACTGCATGCAAAGAGCGGGGGATTAGGATAACTTTCTTAGAGGGAGGGAGAGAAACTCACCACCGTCATACTCGTCCTCTTCTTGCGCTTTTATGGTTATAAATCGGCCTAATAGAGCAGCAAGGATGAAAAAAGTCCTCGTTTGTACCCAGATTGCCATCATGCCTGGATATTAGGCATGTATCCTCCCTGGGCAGCAAAAAAAGTGCAGAGTCGTAGGGTTATTTTAGCACCATGAAGCCAGCTGGGGAGTCTTTCTGCCTCTCCGCATCAGTTCCAGCACAAAGTCTGCGAGCCCTTTCTTCAGCACCAGCTCCAGCGCAGTCTGCAAACACTCCTTTCAGGGGATGCAGCTTTAAATAGGAGGAATGCTGCCTCCACTTCTCTTCCTGCCCCTTTTCAGCCCGTTCAGGCTCCTAATCATCCACTCCCTGCCAAGCAACAGTCTGATTGATGGTAAATAACCGAATCAGGGCTGGCTTCACTCTTCCTTGAACTTTTCTCTGTACGAGTCCACTCGCAGGATATTTTCCTGCTGCTGTGCAGGGCATGTGCTGCGTCGGGACCAGTTATTAGGGAAGCACAGTTCCGTAAGAAGCTGTCAGGAAGAGAAAGCTCTGCTTTTAACACACCCAGCCCACGCTTCCTGGGAATGGAGGGTATAGCCCCATTTGGAGACGATTCCCTTATTAGGAACTTGATCCCTGCCAGCTCGCCAGAGGAGGATTTCCTCCTCTCCCCTGATAACTGCCCCTGCCTCGCTGTAGCTGTGTTATCAAACGTGACTCCAGTCCCTTGAGAGGGACCACAGAGCTACTAACACAGCTCGTTTCAGGAACGTGTGAGTAACTGCCTTTCACCCAAAGGGAAATAACCATTCTCAAATGAATTGTTTCGCTGAATAATCATTCCTCAAATGATTAGCGTGCTCTGCATTTACTGTCCTACCAGCTGGGAAGATTGTTGGAAATCTCTCGAAGATGCTCTACGCTTCTAACACCAGAATGACCACCCAAAAATATCCTTTTACCTGCTTTTCTCCAAGATTCTCTGCCGCTGTTCCCTGACAACTGGAAACCTACCTAAGCCCCAGCCCTTAACAATGTGCCTTAATTAGCATTCTATCGTGAGCACTAAAGCCAATCTCTTTTGAGGATCACTTGCAGCCCGGAGTAGGATGCTAATTGTTTTTCTTCCCATAGTGTTTATGGTCTGCTGAAAGGAAGCTCAGTCACTAATCCCCTCATTTCCTAAGAGGGGGGTCACCTATACCTGCTACAGGGAAAGGCAGACTTCATCGGTTGGGAGGTTTTCTGTGTTCAGCCACTTCAACTCGAGAACAGTCATATTTCAAGTAAACACTTCACCAGGATTCGTGCAAACCTGAAAATCTGACTATCACAGCGTGATTTAGCACTTCCCAGAGATGCAGAATCCTAAAACCTGTGCAAGCCACTGCAATTTTTATTTGGAAAAGCAATGATAGGCATTGGTAAGTGTCAGCTGAGAAACTCAGAGCTGGAAAAACAAAAGATAACACTCGTTATCTTCTATTTGTTATAACGCCTGCCCTGTCACAGGTGAAATTTTGTTTTGACAGGTTCATGAGGACTTGCACAGGTTTGCTAGTCTCAAAAATCATGTTATTTCAGTGTCCTACTTTAGCAGAACCCCAGGAAATCTTCCCTGAAAAGCTGATGTTATGTGATGCTTGCTAGGAACAACAGGTGCTCTAGATAATATACCTAATTTAGAACCAGATGTGACCTTTACCATTTGCTCTGTTCCATCCACACATCAGCTATGACAGAGCAGCAAACATTGCTAAATTATCCCATGAAATCACACAATGCAAAATCATTACATATATATATATATATATAGAGAAGGAAATAACAGATTTTAAAAACCCCCACTAATCAGGGTTTCACTCAGTTGCAGGTAACCTGTCACACAGTAGTGAGTACAAAAATAGTAATAATTTAAGAGGAGAAAGACAGAATATGAACACTGTTTTGAAAAGTATCCTGTGCTTGTTCATGAAAAACCATTATGACAGACAAGTAGGTGTTTGTGAACTATATGCTACTAATGGGAGACAATTTATGTGAATTTTCTTATAATAAACCAGTGAATTGCTCAGAGAACCCACAGCTAAAAGTCCTCAAAGCAGCCTGGGGAAAGCTACAACAAAATACCTCCTACCGGGTAACAAGTGACGAGGACAAGAGGAAACGGCCTCAAGTTGTGCAGTGAAAGTTTAGATTAGATATTAGGAGACAATTTTTCACATAAAAGGACATGGCATAGTGGTGAACACGGTTGTGGTGCAGGGTTGATCATTGGACTTGGGTCTTAAAGGTCTTTTCCAGCCTTAACAACTGTGTGATTCCACAAACTGGGATTCTACCCCAGAATCAGAGAAATGGCCACAAACTCGTAAAACTCACCTTTACAGTCGCTGTGTCCTCAAAATGGGATGACAAGTGCTCACACTTATGTCCCCAAATCTCCAGTCTGCAGCAGGTTGGTAAATTCTTAAGAGTATTCATAGCAAGAATGAGCCCTACAATTGTTACCTCCTGTAGCCTCTGAGACAAACCCCAGAACAAGAACAGGATAGAATTATGATGACATACTTTCCCCATGCAGCACATTATGAAAAAAATCAGGAGGACCCCTTTGACCATTTTCAATAAATTTTTTTTTTCTGAGGGCTTCGATTTTTCAAAGATAACCTTCTACTATTTCACTCCTTTGTAGAGATTCCTACAGCAATGCCTAAAAGCTGCCCTTCAAATCTATTTCTGCTTTGGTCTCACCAACAAATCATGTCACATAAATGAAACAGATGAACAACAGAATAGAAAAGGATGCAAATTGAATCCATCCCCTTATGCCTCCTTATAAATACTTCCTTTTAACCGTGGATCTCCACTTAAAGAGGTTTTCAGTTTTATTACAAGCATCATAAGGAGTCATATCATTTTTCATTTAAACAAATTCACTTCCAGGTCTAAGCTATTTGATAGTATCCCACTGGATATGAGTGAGAGAAATCCTTCGATTATCACCACTGTAAAAAGAGTCAGACCCAGCAATTAAGAGTGGGCAGATAAATAATTCCAAGTATGCTCATTGTCACTTCCCCCCTCCTCCTCTCACAAGGGGAGAAGCCAGCATTGCATAGAATAACACTGTATATTTATGCAGCAACTTCTCTCCAATGGTTTTTCACTTTTTCCATAGACTTTAGGATTCCGTAAGAACAAAGGAATTTGGAATATTGCAAACTAGCCCAAGATTGTGGATTCAGTAATAAATCCTCTCTGGAGCTCATTTTAATTCTGTGTCAATGAAAACTTCCACAAGATGAAAATTCCCTGGGAGGGGAATCCTGGGCCCTGACTCCTGGAGCAGGTTGTGTTCCAATCCACCCTCAATCTACTCATTGTTATACACCAAGCTCAAAGAACGTGACAACCCCAAATTTAGTAGACAGTCTAGTCTGAATCTACATTCTTTTAGTTTAAAGCCATTACCTCTCATCCAATCAATCCCTTCTGAAATGCCCATCCCTATCTTTCTTACAGGCCCCCTTTAGGCACTGGCAGGATCCTATATAAATATACATATAAATATATATATATATAATGCTTCACATTAGAGTAACCCTCAAGTTTGCAGAATCTCTGTATAAAGTGAAGGGGAACGACAAAGCAATAGCAAAATCCTCACACAAAAGCAGTGTGTGCTCCTTTAGGATCTGCTCTAAAAAGTCTTCATGAAATGACAGCTGTCCCCAAGGCCAGGACACTCTTAGAAATATCAAGACACAGTACTCTGAAAAAAAAAAATAAAATGAAGACTCCCTAATATCCAGTCTATTGACATCCACTCCTATTTTCAGCCAATAAGTCAGTACTGTGTGTTATCTGACCTAAAGACCACATGTGAAATTCAAAATTACTCAAAAGTCACAGAGCACTGTGAGTGATAGATGAAGCTAGGGAATACTACCAGGCGACTGTGAGGACACAGAAATATATTAAAATATAATTTACACCCTTAAACCTTTCAATATCTCCAAGTCAGGCCAGAAAAACCTGAATAATTAGCAACTTCGGATGCTTCAGAGCACGCATATATATGAGCAATTAAAATCCAATATCCATGAGAGTCTCTCCAACAGAGTTCAAGGGCTTTTCACACTGTTACATACAGTGTGGCAGTGCTCCTGTTTTAAACTAAATTGTACCAAACTGACAAAAAAAAAAAGGCCTTCATAAAAATGAGCAAACTCTCTGCTACAAATCAGATCCTGGACCAGCCTTTCAGAGCAATATGAAATCAGTGGATTCATGGAAACTGGACATAAGTTCTCACTGAATTTCAAAAGGTGTCTCTTCAAAAACAAGCCAGACTTTCAAAAGCAACACAGTTTCACCAAAGTGAGCTTAAGTCAGTGGGAGAGGTGCTATCAAGTTTTATGTAGGCAGTTAAATCCGTGGTAAGTGCTGTTTGAAACTTCCACCTTGTACAAGCTCCTCGATCACCCACTTAGCTTAAATAAAAAATAAAATAAAATAATAAAAAAAAAACCAGGCAGCAAACTGACATACCACATATTTAACCCCCAAAAATACAGTCCACATAAAATGCTTACTGTTCTTCATTTGAATTAACCATTAAAATGAACACAACTGAGAGGAAAACATTTCCTTTGAAGTGTGTTCACTTTGCACTTTTAAAACCCTTACTGCAAAAGGAATCCATTTTCTTTTTTTATGCAGATTGTTTTGTCATAGTAAAAGGACAGAAAATTCTCTTATTTAAAATAAGAAAATGTAATAGGAAACTACAAAAAAGGGCAAGAATAAAACCAGTAGAATATCATACTACTTTTAAATCAGTTTTTTAAATGGCCTAGATTCTAAACTGCACAACTTCAAAATCCTAATGTTCCTGCAGAGAAATCCACAAAAAAACCCCACAACAAACAACTAATGACAGCTAGAGATTTAAACAATGCTACAGCATTAATGTGTTGCCCATTTGCAGGAGACTTTTGCCATCAACTTTTGGATAGGAAGGTTTAACAAATGAATATAAAAGTCCCTATAGAGGAAATATATATTTTTTTTTGTTGCATTCAAATTTTGTAATGCTGTTTCAGTTTATTTTGATTTGGGGAAGTAAGATGATACTTTGCTTTTAAACTCCTAGAGTGAACTCTTTGGTTATGTAAGTCACTGTAAATGTGCTTTTTCTATGAGCAATTGCAAACCCAATAAGCTCAGTAAGGTTATTGGCACTGGCAGCCTTTCCTTCAGAATGCCTCAATTAAATTAGACTCAACATTAGTCTAAGCAAAAAAAATCAAGGAATTAATTAGGGAAATAATTAGGGAAAGTCTTGCATGAAGTCCTCTGTAAATTATACTTATTCTTTACCTAGAACAGGAAAAACCAGCATCATTATTTCATTGTTTATTGCAAATTCATTGTCAGTCTGTTTTTTGTCTGCCTAAGAACTTAAACTGATTAAGTGAAAACATAAAAGGTTCACAGCAAGCCACCCACTTAAATGGCCAGGGCAAATGCTAATCTGTAATTCAAATAGGCCCCAACTGATGATAGGTCTACACT